CCATTCATTTTCTTTGCATTTATCTCATCTACGGTGCTTAATAAGTTAATGAAGCAACATAACAGTGCTATTGGTCAGCAATCTTTATATGGTCGTTTCAAAGAAATTGTTATTATAGTTGTCAAATTAAATTGTTATACTTTCTGTCTACTGATGGTTTGATGTAGCACATAGCATTGTATGAAAAAAATTTTTTAAAACTTTCTTCACCAAAAAAGGATTCTGAATATCTTTGTTTTTTTTTCAGCTGCTCATTTTGTGCAGGATAAATTTTGTGAAGTTCCCATGCCTGAAGCTGATGAGCTAAGCCGCGAGTGGTATGTTTTGTCATGACTGTTTGGGAGTAAGTCTGATTTACTTTTTTCATAGAATTATTGTCTTTGATTCCCTTAAAAGAAGGAAAAAGAAGAATTCAAGGGCTGGGATCATACTGAATTTTTTCCTTTCGTTCTACGTAAATGAATCTTATCTATCTAATAATATTAATAAATACTGATCGCTTTGATCTAATGGAAATGCTTAGATTCATTTGCTCATCACTTTCTTCCTTATTCAGGTTGTCAGTAAATGGTATTTACCAACCGTATGTTCCAAAAGTAAAAAATGCTGAGGACGTTCGCCTGAATGGAAAACGTCAATCAGAAGCAACAGAAAATGCTGCAGGTCCATCGAAATCAAAGCAACGACCTCTCGGAAGTGTACCGAAATGGTTCAAAAAACTATAAATTTCTTTTTGAGTTTCGACGATTATAAACTATTTTAGCTTGCTATTCAGAGAATTGTCCAGAAATCCGAAAATATATTTGGTTCATTGACCATTTGGATACGTATTTTGGAAACTGAATTTTGGAATAATGAATTTGGTTAATTCATCTCGGCTTATCTTGCCCACCATAGCTCTTGATTCTGCCGTACTGTAAAATTACAAACAAAATGGTTATGAAAATACTTCTGTTACACAAAATACAAATTTACAAAGTGGTTCTGTCACTGTAAAATTTCATGTATTTCGTGTAAATTACATGAAGTACATGAATCCGACGTCTTTCTGTACTCTTATACGTGTTTTATTAATCAGTTAATTGTGGTATATATAATATATATTTGGTATTATTATTGCCCCTTATCAAATATTTCATCATTATCCGATCAGTTGTTATTAGCGCATTTTATCGTAATCCGATCAGTTGTTATTAGCACAATAAATAAGGCGAATACAAAGTTAAACTTGATTTTTAACGTATTATATTATAAAAAGAACATAAAAAATATTTTTAAAAAACGTACTTTTGTGTTCCTTTTGTTGATGAAGAAAGGATGACTAATTAGGCGCTTGCATATAAAATACTAAAGGTATGCAAGGTGTATGTGCGTGATACTCAACTACTACTTCACACTTCAACCAGTTATTTGTCAGTTGCATAACGGATAACATATACATTCATTATCTGGATCAAAATACAATCATCATATCGTATTTCAGGTACCGGTATTAGATGAAATCTTTCTATATTAAATTCACACTATCATACATAAATTATGCTTGATCTTCTTAAACTATTTGAAAGTAATCAATTATCAAGCCAGTGAAATTATTATCGGCGAAAGGACGCGGAAAAAGTATGCGTAAGAAAGAATACAGGAATGTTAAGCAAACAAATTATTTATGTGGGAATTGAGTATGATATTTTTGGCTTAAATAATTGCTAGTAATCAGAAATTAATTTAAGTCAATATTTGGATGTAAAATTCTTGGAGTCTTTTTTTTTCTGCAATATTGCGAAATTATTTATTCTTTGAATAATTCTTATTTGCACGTTTGTCATTTATCATCACTTTTTCTTCCGTTTTTTCGATCAATGGTGAGCAAATTGTTGGCATGCGCAATAGATCATATGCAATAGTTTTCATATCATCCAAAATCTAAAATATTAATTTCATCGTTATCATACTAATTTACTTTTGCATTTATAGAATTGCATTTTTAAGACACGTAAAATGATTCATTATCAATTTGCATGATAATAGATTCTTATCAATATGTTATTGAATGTATTTCTTTAATTGGTGGGATTAATTTCACTGATAATTTCATCTCAACTTTTGTTGGAAGCGTTACTATCATACATGCAATAATATATTTCTAATTCTTAGCTTATCGTTCACATTCTATCATATATAGTATCACTTTCTTTCAAACAACTTTCTAATTGCTCTTAAATTTTTAATATCTAAAAGAAAATTTTAGATAAATTTTAATTCTAGAAGTAAAACAGATAAGAAATTTTTATGAATAAAAATATTATTTGCTTGAACCGGTTCTGGTGAAGAATCCAATGAATAATTGGCTTTTTTTTGCCATCGTTTTGTTGTTCGAAGTATACTTGGTAGAACAGATATTGTTGCTGGTCCCGCGAGCTCTGATACCATACATTCACGATTTTTATCAGTTGGACAATTTGAATTTGATGCTACTGCTTCATAAAATGTACATGGGGTATTGCTACTTATTTCATCGTCCATATTTTTGCTTTTATTTCCCTAAAATAGATAATTGATAACAATGATTTATTGCAAAAATGATAGATGATTTTGATGAAGTGATATCACGATATTACATCTTAAAGTATCTTTCCTTTCTTTCTATATCATTCTTATTTTCCTGAAAAACCAATTATAATAACAACCAAGAAAATAATTATTATCATTATCACTTTCATACTTTCTTTTCTTTTTTTTTTTTTTGAAATAAATTTTAAAATGAAACCTTACACTTTAAACTATCTTTCTTCCAATATCATTTTCAATATTTTTCTTGTAAAACCAATTATGATAAAAACTAACAAAATAATTGTTCATATTTTGAAACTTTCATATTTCCCCTTCTTTTTTAAAATGAATTTAAAAATGAAACCTTTAGTTTTGCATGTTGAAGCAATTTTGACTTATTGGAAGTGAATTTTTGCTCTTGTTCCCTAAAATTTTACAAATTCGATACACTTTTACCAAATACAAATAAAAGGAATTTAAATTAAAATCTACTGATTGATTGATTGATGTGATTAATTGATTGGTTGATAGATTGATTGGTGTAGCAAATATTCAGTAACTGACCTACTGATTTATTGGTGTTATAAATATTCAATAATTATCACTTGTAGAATTCCCTTTAAAACTGCAAGTAATTTTTTTCCCCTTAATTTATTCATTTTAAATATGATCAATAAAAATAACAAAGGACAATGTATAGATTTTCTTTTTTTTCCTTGTCCTTTGTCGTTTCTTTTCTTTTAACATCAATTAATAATTTGAAATTGTTATAAATTAATGACGGATGAAAATTAGGAATAAGAAGCTAAAGAAAAACAGGAAAAAATGATAATTTAAAATGTTGCATATGTCGTAAAATATTATGATTAAAATTATTTTTTGTAAAGTTCATTTCCTTCTTTAGAAAACCTCATTAATGGTTTATTGCTAATTAAAATATTTTAAATACTTGATTAAAATTTAACAAACTTTGATAAATTGTTCGAATTTTGAGCATTATTTTGTAATATTTCACTAGTTTTAAGCTTTCTGGTTGTGCGCAAAAATTCAATGTAATCTATTTTCTCAATGTTATCGTTCTTTTCTTCCACCTTCTCTTCTGTCATCGATTTTTTTTTTTATTTTACTGAAAGCAAATTGAATTAACGCATCAATAAGTTTCATTGCAAAATAATTTACTAATTATAGACTAAGAATGGAATTGAAATATTTTGGGAGAGAAATTTCGAATAGGGAAAAATAAAACCTGAAACACTTCGATATTTAAAATGTAATTTCAAAATTTTATTTCAACTAAAATGTTCAATTATCAAATATTAGCAATTATATTTTTGAATTGTGATAAAAACATCTTATATCGAAGCAATCAATAAATGGACATAACCGGATCATTATCGTAAAATATCCTACACCAGAAAAATTAACGAAACGTACAAAACGTGTACAGAACACGTATAAAAAATTAATGACATCTCCAAAAAAACGTGTAAAGCTAATGACTTGTACAAAACATATGTAAAAGTTGATGACATGTGCAAAACATGCATAAAATTAATGATACGTACAGAACACGAATTAATTGAGAATTAATTGATATAAAGGAATAGAAAAGCAAAACTGATAATGATTATACGACTAACTAAATGATAAGAATCTAACAGAAATTTTCGGATTATGCAGAAAAAAAAAGCAGCATAAAATGAATGAAACGTACAAAATGTTTGTAAAAGTTAATAAAACGGCAAAAAAAACGCGTAAAAACAAATGACAGGTATAAAACACGTGCAAAAGTTAAAAGTTAATGAAATGAGCAAAAAAACGCGTAGAAGTTAGCGGCAGGTATAAAATACGTGTGAAAGTTAATGAAATATGCAAAAAAAAAAAAAACGCGTGAAAGCTAATGACAGGTAAAAAAACACGTGTGAGAATTAGTGATATAAAGGGGAAACACAAATTTCGGATTATTTGTTTTACATCTTTTAGCCGTAAAATTTCAACATATGAGTTATATGACAATATCAAATTTTAACAAAGGAATTGAATTTAATTATTCGAAAAAAAAGGGATGGTAAAATGAAAAGGAAGGAAGGAAGGAAGGAAAGTAAGGGAAAAAGGAAAATGGATGGATAAAAGAGAAATGTGTTGTGAATTTGAAAAAGTAACTAACATGATTTAATAAAGTATTCAAAATAATCTGATTTTCATTTGCTTCTTAGCAACTTGCTAATACCCACACACACACACACACACACACACACACACACACACACACACACACACACACACACACACACACACACACACACACACACACACACAC